GTTACCAACATCTGGTGAAAATTTCATGTCATTAGCACCTCTAGTAATATATTTACTGAGAAAAATGGTGACGTGTTCAATACTTATTTTACCCGCTGTTAAACAAAACGATACACGGTCAACGAAATCTAGAAAACCGTAATCAGCGGTGTCCAGTCCTGGTCCTGGAGACCCTCTAAAGCCTGCATATTTTACATGATTCTCTGCTTCGATACACCTGATTTGAATGAATGATTAATAGGCTTCTGAAGAACTTGAGGACATGTTGAGGAAGTAACTCAGCCACTGAAGCAGCTGGAGCAAAGAAACAACTCAACATGCATGACTCTGTTTACATGGACATMAGGAATCRGAATAAAAATGCATCATATAATCRTCCCAATCAGAATTAATTTGTGATGTGGATGAGAGGGCTGGTTCATACAGATTGATAATCCGAACTGCGTGCGTKTAAACACTTATTCTGTTCASGTTATTCTAGTTRTGGAAACCTGACGTGACGTATTTCCACCTGGTTGATGTGAACATGTTGGAAAARCAAAATCGGTTCACCATACAACATTTCCACTGGAAACTTTGAAAGAGCTCAAAAATGATCGAACATGGAGTTCATTAACATCTACACCGCTATTAAACCCTGCCGCAGGTCCATCATGAGGCGCTAAGAAAACACAAAATGTTCATGTTCATCGCAGAAGTAGTATTTCTTCTTCTGTGGTTTTTAAGGTAAAGTTATCAGCTCTGCACGTATCAAAGCCTGGTGGACTTGAACACTCGTCAGGATCAGATTATTTAATTTTGTGCCCATATAAACAATACATTCTGATTATTTAATCCAAATACAAAGATCTTTGCAKATGTAAACACAGCTTGTGTCCCACTGTCTTAAATCGATCAGTCGTGTTTCACTGGTTTGCTTTCAAACAGCCGACGAAAATTCTACAAAAAACAYATTTTGACGACATGTAACCGCTTTGTAGACGGCAACGCAGATCTGTTCAACACGAACTCTGTACTACGTTTACAGACAAAATAAAAAAGTAAACTTTACTTAGTGGTTGGTGTTAATGAAAAGGAGTGATGAGAAAAGAGTACTCAGGAATAACGAGGCATGAAAATCAGCATGGAGCAAACGAGCTCACCGTGACAGGGGGATTGGACAGAGAGTGTTGTGGGGAAGAGCGGACCACTGGTGGAATCCCCCGGGCAGGGCTGGTACCAGGACCGCTACCTCCCGCAAACTGACAAGACGGACGGAAGACGAGGACGAAAAAGAAGGGAAAAGAAAAAGAAAAGAAGAGGAACGGGTTAGAAACTAAGTATGAAATATTAATACACCAACACGTACTGAGCTGTATGAGTTACATACCTCAAAATAATCACTAATTTTATGTCCTCGTGCTCCAGCTTTACCTGGAAAAGAGAAGCAGGGACGTTTAGACGACGTGGGGAATAAAGTCGGAGCGGAGCAGGGGGCACGATCTTACCTTGGCCGCCGTCAAAGTGGTCCGCTTTGCGTTTCCGCACCCTCTGGTCGTTAGCCTTCTTCTCTGGAGTCTGTAGGAAAACCAGTGAGAATCAGCCATGAGCTAACGAGGTGACAGAGGGACCGCCAGCACAAATAAATCATGTTCACAACGTGAAAGAGACCCACCTCGAGCTCTTTGTCACTAAGTGAGCCCACACTGCACAGACTTTGGTTGGATGACTCGTTTTGACTCTGACCCGAGCCCTGATAAATAACACAGATTAATTACAAAAACATCTAAAAATAAATACAAAACTGGACTTTCAAACGTAAGAAGATGCGAGGAATAAGAAAAAAAAAGGAAGAAAAACAGTTTAAAATGGCAACAACACAAGAAGAGACGGGGAGGTTTCGCTAAATATAATTGCTAATAAATGCCCACTGAATGTAGACCTCCATCAGCACTAATGCTGGTTCCCTAGGTGACGCCYGTCAATCACATGATTCACATCAAAATTCAGCAAGCACTGTCCAATCAGGAAGAGACACTTAGTCATTCAGAGCACACCAGAGCTCTCTCGCACTGAACCCTCCTAAAATGGCTGAAGATTAAGCAAGCTGCTGGGGATGTTTTCCTCTCTCCATCCGTCACCTTTAGATAATGTCATCCATTTTTCCTCCGTTTGTCCCCCCGTCTTCAACACATTTTTTTGTTCTCGAGACGCCAGCAAAACGAGCTTTTCAGATCTAAAAATTAAAGCTTCTTTTCAACCAATCATCTGTGGAGAAATACTTCGGCTGTTTGTTCTAAAGGAAATGCACTTTGCAACTATTTTCAGTCCAATCTGCTGTTTTTAATCAAAAGGTGCWCCGTCCCTCGTCCTCAAACGATGATTCTCTATTACACCGAGTGATGACGGAGCTATCCAAGGTCAAGAAAGGAAACACTACTCTGTGACTTTGAGATTTTAGACCAACAAACTTTGCGTCTTCGCTCGTACTCGATCCCCTCACTTTGTATTTCTCGCCGTACGTACAGGGTGACTGTGGCGAGTGCCGCCATTTCCTCTGCGGCAGAAGCCATGCCACGCTCTGGGCTCAGTCCTGCCTATGGCTGGCACAGTGCCCACCCCTGGCACCAACTCTGGCTCTCTAACTGTTCCAAGATCCCCTTCTAGACAACTCCATCCACGTGGTAAGACGGAGGGAGGAAAATAAAACTGATTCCACTCATACCTGGTGGAGAACTATTTCCGCATTCCTCCCCTCCGCCTTCACTCCTCTTCCCTCCCCACCAACCCTGTCCCGTCCAYGGCCTTTTTGGCAGGCATCGCCACTTGCATATACAGCCACTRCATCATGAGCCAGGGAGAGATGCCATGTCACACCAGCCAAAAAACACAGACACGGCCCAACCTTCTCCAGAGACAGACAAAGGAAAAGAGTCAGCCCAAAACTGGTACAGGCTGAAAAGCAGAAATATGCCCAAGTGAGGTGAGACAAAGACAAAGGAACTATAAGAGTTCCCTCGACCTCTCCGACATCTGCCGTAACACAAACCTTAGCCACGCCAACTCCAGTAAAGCGAGCCTCCAACAGCTCCTGCCGCCGGGGGTCCAGGCTGTGCAGTTCTTCCATCATGGCTGCAGAGACAAGAGCAAAAGATTAAGGAAGGTGYTGAAGAGACTGGAATATTCAGATGGCAGAGAGGGATCACTATTTCAAAAAAGGCATCGGTTGTGATGAGTCATGGCTGTTTTTAGCTATATGGATGTGGAAAATTCCTGTTCTGAGTCATCAATAATACGCTTGACAATGTTTTACACCATCATGTCAACCAAGTGCCAGCCATAAAACAATGGTTATACAACAAGGAACCTACAGAACAGAGAGTGGTCARCTACAAGCAATAACAAACCATTAGGTATGCAATAAAAGACACAGGACATATGTGTGGAGACACTGGAAAATTATGGCATCACTTGATAACGCCTAGAGATGATAGGCCTGACTACATGGCGTTGTTGTTGTTATAAAGGTCAGTAATGGAGGAAGTGCCAAGGAATAGTCAGAGCCATGGAAAAGGCCACAATAGACAATAAGTGCCCAGTTCGCTGGCCTGGCGAAGGTTTAAATTACACGCCCCAAAAAAAGCTGGCTACAATGCCTATTACCTATAGTTTACATCCACTATCAAAACAATAACGGGACTGTGAGCGTGTGTTATGAAAGTATATAMTGTCCAAACCTTGACTTCACTCACAAACAAGCGGCTCAACGTTTAATAAACGCAACAAAGTGGATTTAAAATATGAAAATCGGGTTTGATCACTGAGCTAACAGTACCATCACTTAGCAATTCGGAAGCTAACGGTTTGGAAAAACCAAGCTAACGTTACAAAACAAGGAAAATGCTGACTAATGTTCACATAAATGACACATAACATAGCCAGCGAGGCGGAAAAAATAATTACTGCCAGTAAATGTAAACTGTCAAGCGTTCACAAGGGTCCAGCGAGCTAACATTCAGCCCAAGAAGCAGCATCTTCTCCTCAATGCTCGTGCCACATTTGGGCTCACCGTTAGCAAAAACAATCCTTTTGTTCGACAAGCCCATCCGGACACTCACTGTAGTTCAAGATCGCCTCCGTCCTCCGGAGCTGCTGACCCCCGCAAGCCCCCTCCGTTTGTTGTTTCACCGGTGCTCGGCAGACCCTCCCAGGTTAGGCCGCATCCACAGCCCCGTCCCTCGCGTGATGATCGTTACCGGGACGCGCGCGCTGCGCTGCGCTGCTCCAGGTGGACGACGGAGGACTCCCCCCCGAGGCCTCGGCGACTCCGGGTCTCCCAAACCCGCCTTTCTGCGCTCCTTAAGCGGGGATCCCCATCACATCTCTCCTTCCGTTGCTTCTCTCGCTTCCACACAATGGCGACCCTGGAGAATCTGCGGGGTTTTCTTTCCAGCAGGTATAAATAATGTCTTTTTTTTTTTTTAAGCACGCGCTAGTTACCCCCTTACCCCCCCTCTGTGTTTATCTTCCCTGGTGCTGCGATGAATTTAGGGTCCCGTTTTACAGCTCGACCAAAACAAAGTTTGTCCGCAGCTTCCTCCCAAGCAGCGGAGAGAGGGGAAAAAGACTGGGGTAATAAAGAATCTGTTTTCAGAAGCGTTTCAGTTGAATCCGGATCAATTCGGTTCTGTTCTCATGTTTTAGCAATGTAAACAATTATCATAAAATCGCATGTTTTCTCGTGAGATCATTAGAGTAATTTTCACCTTCCTTTCGGTCCACGCCAACCCCAAATCCGTTGTCTGGACCAATCACAAACCCCTTCAGCACAATCCTACCC